TGAGCCATCCAGGCACCCCAAGTTTTTGGTATTTTTTTTAAGCATGCATGACATACTGTCATAATTATTAAGATGTTCTTTTCAATAAACTACATCCTCTGGGGTTTTATGTTATATATGGGTACTATTGTAATACATATTTTTAAAATTTTTAAATCCTGCTTACTAGGATTTGCCATGGATCCCAGAATTCTCAGATCACCTGGAAAACTGTCTCTGTAGCATTACCTGATGGCATGTTTGAGGACGTGAAGGACTATTCTAGCCTTTCAGGGATTTCTGAGGAGGCCAAACCCCTTTTCTTACTCGGGGCTATATTCTTCTTCCCTGGGTAATATTGACAAGTAGGTAAATGAACATGGGCTTGAAGTCAGAGAGTCCTAGTTTCCAGCCCCAGATGTGTGACTTTGGGCTAGCTGCTTACCCTCTCTGAGCCTGTTTCTGAGAAATGAGAACTATGGTTGTGGTCAACATTAAATGAGATTGTCTTTATAGAGAACATTCAGGTTATCTAGCTCATAGCCAGCATTCCATAGCGTTTCAGGAAGGTGATATGCTTGCAGACAGTCAATGCCAAAAATGAAGGACTCCAATTAGGCATGTGTTTCTGGGCCAGTAAAGGGTCTCTTTAGATTTTTGTAAGGTAAGGAGCAAAAGGAAAAGATGTTAGTAGTCTGGTAGGCAGGCTGATTAAAACTTTGATGCTCCATTTCCAAAATCCTTCATATACCTAAAGGGAATTCTTTTTGAAATTTACTTTATTTTTATTAAAGATTTTATTTTTAAGTAATCTCTACACCCAGTGCGGGGCTCTAACTCACAACCCTAAGATCTAGAGTCACATGCTCCACCAACTGAGCCAGCCAGGGACCCCTATTTTACTTCAATTCCCATGTCATTAACAAACAGTGTTATATAAGTTTCAGGTGCACAATATAGTGATTCAACAAATCTATATATTACTTGGTGCTCATCAAGGTAAGTATACTCTTAATCCCTATCCTGTTTGTTTTTTAAAGATCAAAGTTTCCACATTTGTAATTCCTACACTTCACATATACACTTAACATTGAATTTCTTTTGAAAAACAGTACATGCACGTGTTAAAAAAATTATCAGTACCAAAGTGTACTTTGGATGAATGAAAACTAAGCTGTTCTACCCTGGCCAAGTTCACCTCCCCATTAGCAATCATTAACAGTTTCTTGTGACTCCTTCCAGACATAACCTGTGCCTGCACAGCAAAACCATCCAGGAATGTGCAGAGACAACTATGGCAACTCAGTACACCTTAATAGAAATAATTGCCCCATGGCATCACTCCCCCCTTTTTACTCTTTCCATGATTCTGCCCTTTGCAGATCGCTCTGTAGCTACGCATAGATCGACCTCATTTTCTCTACAGTTGCTCGACAGTCCGCTGTGAGAGCAGTTCCATACAGCTCCATACCTGGGTCATTTCCTGTCTTTCTAGTACAAGCCATGCTGTCATGAATATTATACTAGATCTTTGTTCACTGGTGAGAACTTAATGGTTAAAGACACATACAGGCACATATTTTTAAGCAACCTGCATAAATGATTAGCTGCGTTTGGGAAACACTGATCAAGTTGATAGTCTTAGGATCATTCCTTACCTAATATTCCCCGCCACCCCCCACCCCCCAACTAAAGTGTGTTTTCTGGGGTCTTGGCCATGGTTTCTTCCTACTCCGATTCTCGTAGCTTTGGGAAGAATTGGCAGAAGGAGAAGGGGGTAAAGTAGTATATAGGAGGGGTATGCAGCCTTTGCTTGCCAGTGGAGAGGAAGACCAGCAGGAGGCTAGGGACTCTCTCCTCTGTGACTCAGGAAGCAGATCAGGGTCTCTCAGCCTTGGCACTGTTAAGCTTTTGGCCGGAAAACCTTTGTCATGGCTGGGGTGTGGTGTGGGGAGGGTGGAGGGTGTCTCTCCTGTGAGTCTGTGCATCCCGGGTCTCTGCCCACTCTGTAGTCCCTCTACTCAGTTGTGACTGACGCTTTAAGTCTCCTGGGGGAAAATCTCCCCCGACTCCCCTGCCTTAGAACCAGTGCTTGCTGTCTCCCGTGGTAGAATGGCCACGTGAGGGTTCTTGTCCTCATTCTCCCTCTGATAATCCCAATTCCCCTTCCTTCCTTTCTTTCTTCCTATTTCCCATTACGCAACACAGTGCATATGAACACAGTCTCATTGCACAGCTTTCAAATAATACATTATCCTCCTCACTCCCAACCTAGGGGATTTTCTAGAGGGAATAACTATTGTTTTAAATTTAGAATTCTTCCCATGCACTTACATACTGATTTTAATATACAGAAATCAGGAGTTTTGTTTTTTGCTTTTTTTATCCTAAATGGGATTTCACTGTGCATTTTGTTGAACTTTATTTTTTTCAATTAACAATCCAAATAATAAATGGGGACCCATCAATATCCTATATTACATGCACACGACTGGTTAGTCAGTTTGCCAACTGATGAGCAATTACATTTTCAGGTTCCAAATATTCTTTTTTTTTTTTTTTTAAGATTTTATTTATGCATTTGAGAGAGAGAGAGAGAGCACAAGCAGGGGGGAAAGGCAGAGGGAGAAGCAGACTCCCGGCTGAGAGCTGGATATGGGGCTGCACCCCAGGACGTGGAGATCAAGACCTAAGCAGAAGGCAGACGCTTAACCATCTGAGCCACCCAGGTGCCCCAGTTTTTTAGTATTCTAACAAAGCTGACAATGCTGCAGTTGCACACACCGGTATATGCTTCTTTGTTTAAAAAAAAAAAAAGGTGAAAAAGTGTGGCTATAAACCAAGAAGTACTATTATTGTTTTGAATGATACACACAATTTTTTTTAAGATTATTTATTCATTTATTTATTTATTTGACAGACAGAGAACACAAGTAGGCAGAGAAGCAGGCAGAGAGAGAGAGAGAGGAGCAGGCTCCCCACCGAGCAGAGAGCCCTGGGATCATGACCTGAGCCCAAGGCAGAGTCTTTAGCCCACTGAGCCACCCAGGCGCCCCTATACACACAATTTTTAATAGTGACTGCCAACAGCCTCACCAAAGAGCTGTTATCACTTAAAATTCTCTCCAAATGTGATTAAGAATAGCCTTGACTCTTATCACGGGCCATCTGGGTTAAATTACCAATCTGTAAATTTAAAGTTTTGAAAATCTGCTCTCCTTAGCATTTCAATTTGGAGAGTTGTCTTATAAAAGGAAATCTGCGAGTCCACCCTTTAAGCCTTCCAGGGGCCGTTCTCTGCCGTCAGAATAAGCTTCCAATTCCTTAGCAAAGCTGACCCGATCCTTGCGGGGTTTGGGGTGGTGGTGGTGGGGGGTGTTTTTACTCCCAGAAAACTTTAGCGGACTCTCTCCTCTGGGCTGAGTTCCATCCGGTGCCTTCACAGTCCCTGACGCCTGTTCGCCTCTCTGCGGGGCTCCTGGCCCAGCAAAGTGCCCCAGTCTGTTGAATTGGTGACGGGGAGCAGAGACGGCATCCAGATCATCTCTGATTTCAGCCCTTAATAGGAGTTTTATAAATGCTGAATGAGCTGGGGCAGTGGGACCTGGGGGGCCAGAAGGACGCTCTCACTAGGTTCCTGGGGGCGGCCGCGAGTCTCATCTGGGGCCAGACCCCGCGCAGGGAATGAGAGGGGATGCGCCCGGATCCCAGAAGGCTGCAGCCGGTGTCCCTTCTCCCCCGACAGACGCTCCAAGTGCTCCCTCCCCAATTCTCTGCAAAACTTAACGGGAGATCACATGCCTGGAGTGAGAACCGACCATTTCCTTCCAAAATGCTCGTGGTGACCCACAGAGGTCCCAGTAAAACACCGAGAGACGTGGACAGGACCGGGCTGGAGCGCCACTCAACCCCTGAAGTGCTCCGGGAAACCTCTGGGGCGTGCGTGTAGGAGTTTGACAAATTAACCTTTTAAAGACGTAGCGGCGCGAAAGCAGCCCCCACACCTGGAGCCACTCGAACACTGAATGGCAATGGTGGAGACGCACAGGATGTTGCATTAAGGACCAACCGGAGCGGAGACCTTACAGGCTATGGTTCCTTGGCAGCAACAGAAGGGAAAGAACTCAGCGGGCTCCCACCAGCCGGCCATCGGCCGCGAACAGCAGGGTCGAGTTCCGTGTTCTCAAACTCAACCGCACTTTCCCCGTGTGGCCTTTTTACACGATCGCAGGTACACGACGGGCGCTACTCTCCCCTCTCGCTTGCTCTTAAACTGTCGTCCAACAATAGTGCTGACTAATGGTGAGAGCCAGCAAGTGCTCTTAGGTGGCCGCATGGAAATAAAAAAGTTGCTACAGAAAGAAAAAAAAAAACAAAACGGGAACTTTCGCCCTTGGTTTCCCGGGTACCGAGCTGCAGAAAAGGTGGGAGAAAGGCCTCAGGGCCTAGACCCAACAAGTGAGGGAAAGAAAGGAAAGAGGACGGAAGCCTGGGCCAGAGGAGCCTCTGAACATCCCCAGAGGGCACGGCGGCCCTGGGGCTCAGTCTCCTTGGCGCAGTCCAACCCCCGCGTCAATCAGATGCTTCTCGCTTTGCCATTGGCCGGGGGCTCCCTTGGCCTCCCTGGCGCCCACCTCCTCGTTGCTTGGGGTTTACTTCCCCAAAGTACACGGGCCCCACCTTGTGGAGCAACCGCTCCTGTATGGAAAACGGATCTCCGCCCAAGGGAACACACTTTAACGAATGGGAGCCGCCTCGCACACTTATTGGCTACCATGAATATCGGTCAAAGAACTTCCTACCCTCTTTGCCGACGTCCCTTTAAGTAATTGGTCGCTCTCAGTGCCAATCCGTTACTAGGGAAACGAGATCCTCACAGTCTCATAGGCATGAGTCAAAGCCAATCAAGAGCCACGCCTTCATCCTGAGTCCCTACCCAATTGCTGCTCGAAGAGCCCAGAGGACGCAGTCGGGATTGGTCGCCAGCCTGCTCGACCTGGCCGCAACAAGTTAGGCTGAGTCGCGGTTATATAGACCGGCGACGGAGCACGCGTGTGTGCGGACGCAGTTGCGTGAGGTGATCTTTCCTTCTGCCGTGCTGTGGAGCAAAGCTTGTTCCTCTCCCGCTCAGCCGTGCAGGTATGCCCGGTTGTGGGCGGGGCGGGGCGGCCCAGGGACGAAGAGGAGCTGGGATGCGTGTGAGCGAGAGAAGTCGCAGCGGTCGTGGCGGTGGCCGCCGCGCTAGGCGTGCCCCCCCCCAACGGCCGCAGGCGGGCGCACGGGCGCGCGGAGTTTCCCCGCCCCCTCCTCGCCGCGCTCCCACCGGCCGGCGCGCGTGGCCGTGTCCGCGTTCCCCGCGTGCGCGTGCCACACCCAACGGCCGCGCGGGGCGAGAGCGAGCCGCGGCCGCCGCCCGGGCCCCAGGGCGGTCGCGGGATCCCGGGGCCCCGCGCTGCCCGCCCGCCGGACTTTCCCGCTCGTCTCCCTCCCCGCACGCGCCCGCAGATCCTTTCCTGCCCCGGCGACGGGTTCCAGCTTGGTCCGGCCGGGAGGAGGCTTTATTTAGCGGCGGGGGCGACACGAAAACCCGAGGAGGTTTTGGGTTCGGGAAGCAGAGGTGCTGCTCCCGGTTTTACAGGGAGTAAAGGGGGAGCAGCCAAGGCACGGATGATGAGTGGAAATAATAATTGCTGTTTGTCCTGAGCCCACGCTGTGTGCCAGGCGCCGTGCAGAGCAACTTGCGTGGCTCTCCCGTGCTCCCACAACGGTCCGGGGAGGTAGGTGCGGCGACTTTGCTTTTTGCAGTGGTTGCGGACGTCCAGAGGTGGGGAAACGTGGTCAGAGGCACGGCGACGGTAAGGGGCAGGTATCGGGTGGAACCGAGGTCGTGTGGCTGCTAGGCCCCCAGCCTGTTTCCGTCCTTGGACGGGCGCGGTGCGCGGTCCCAGGGCGCCGTGGCCCCCGGAGCACGGGTCCCCGGGGCTAGCGGTATCAGCCCGAAGAGGCCAGCTGCTGGGCGGAGTGCGGCGGCATTTGGCTTGAACCACTTGTAGGCTTCCAGGAAGACGCGGCTTGGAAGTGGGATTGTGACAAAGGACACGAAGGGCTTTGGGCTTCCTTTTTACGAGTGTGCGCACGGAAAGCTGATGGATGTGCCGCCCTCAGAGCTTCCGGAAAAAGTAGAGAGAAAGACGAATAAGTGCAGATGAACGTGGACGGTGTTCCTTCTCCGGTTTGATGCTCTGCGCGATGGTGGGAAATTCCCGGCAGCCGCAAGTTAGGCTCTGCTCTTACACCTTGAAACCTTTTCTCCCGTCTTTCCTTTACGGGGCAGACTTGAGAAAGACCTTTGGGAATATAGTTTAACTTCCTCGTTTTGCAGTTGGAGAAAAAGCGGGTTAGAGCGATGAGTTTCAGATCTCGCCGGCATGTGTGGGTTGAGACGTGAAGTTGGGACGGAAAGGATGGTGCCCAGTTACAATATAAATTTTAAGCTCTGGAGCTTATGCTAGGTGAATTACAGGTGATTGAGGTGTGTTGGAAGTCTTTCCCTTAGGGCAGTTGGGATCTTCTGTGGATGAAAGCCTCTCCACATTCAATTCAGTTCAGTTATTTCGAGTCTACTGTTGGGCTCCTCTGTCTATACAAGTATGGAAGATACCTTCAAAGATAAGCATAAATTTGCGATTTTTAAAAGCCAGTATATTCCCTGGCTTTGGAAAATCGTTGCAGGTCCAGGACATTACTTAATATCACAAATGTCTCTACTTGAGATCAAACTAAGAAGTTTTGGCACTAGCTCTTCTGAATTAGTTTGGCTTGGAATGGCTTTCAACCTTTTTTTTTTTTTTTTCTTTTTAGAGCCTTTAGGATTAGTTTTTTAAGTTTTTGCAGTCAGAGGGAACACAAAATTTCCATCCTTGCAAGTAAGTTAAAAAACTACAAGGAAGCTTGATATCTGTAAGTGTTTCCATTTACCCAGTAGTTTCCATGTTTCTTAACAGAAAGTAGCAATAGATTAGGGATCAGAATATTCAATGGCCCAAGTTCTTCAGTTGGTGTTGCCATAAATAACAGATTGGTTTAGAATATAACATTGTTTTACGTGGCCTTCATGTAGCAATTCTAGTTATATTTATTTAGACGGATTACCTTATTGAGTTAGCATTTTAGGCTTCAACTTTTAAAACATAATGACATAGGTTTAAACTGTTAACTTGGTGTCCACTAATGGTGTTACTGCTTGGAGTAAAATATGTCAGAAAGTAAAATACATCAGAATGAAATTTCCTTGTGCAATAATAGGATTTTGATTCCTTTTCAGATACTTCTTAACATGTTCTTTCCCTCAGGTGAAGGTTATCAGTTGGGTAGGAATATGAAAACTGTGGTACTTTACAGTTGGTAGCCTGGCATATCTCCTTTGCACGCATTTATTAAGAACAAATGAAGCAGACTGTAATAATGTAAGACTGGTGTGCCTTCCTTCTTCCTAGCCAAGTTAGGTTACTTTTGTTATTAAATCCTTTCTAAGTTTTTGTACTTCAAACAGAAAAGTAGGCAGTTCTTTGTTCTTTATTTAACTCACATTGTTTGCTGTTCTCAGCTGACAGTCTGCTAAGGGTGCATCAGAAGATTTGGTAATGTTTGTTACTGACCTATTTCGCAGTAGTTCTTTTTCTTGTAATTTGATTTTAGTTATCTTAGTACTTTGCCTTGAAAGTAAAGGGTAGAGGTTAGTTTAAGGCGTGGTTATTTATTTATTTATTTATTTGACAGATCAAAAGTAGGCAGAAAGGCAGGCAGAGGGAGAGAGGGGGAAGCAGGCTCCCTGCTGAGCAGAGAACCCGATGGCAGGGGGTGGGGGGATGAGGGGGATGCGCTCTATCCAAGGACCTAAGATCATGGCCTGGGCCAAAGGCAGAGGCTTAACCCACTGAGCCACACAGGTGCCCAGTTTAAGTTTTTATATGTTTGTGAATTGTATACGGTTCAAAGGATCGATGGAGCCATGCTAAATAAAAGATGAAATTTAATATAAAACCTGAATTCCTGATGAATCTTTTTTTTTTTTTCCCCCCAGTTTAGTAAAATTACTTACAAACAGCTAGTGGGAAAAACCTTTAGTTGCAACACTGTCCTTCTAGCCATGGAGTTAAATTTAGACTCAGCAATTGTAATCTCACTTGTGGTTGGTGATCACACTGGTGGTTAGTTAGGTTTATATATTTTTAAATCTCAAAAGTCACCTTATTCCTTTTTTTAAGTATTCTTGGACCTTGTATTTGGCCTTGGTGGGGAAAGCTGAATTGCAAGCCAGGTGGTAAAGAGCTAGGAATAATCTGCACATGAAGAGGGGGCTTTATAAGACAGAAAATAATTAAAATTTTCACAGGTTGTGGCCTTAGTAAATGTCTTTAGAGGACTTTGATAGATTTCTTGTTTTGTCCTCTGGTAGTTAGTCATGTTGTAATATTGTTTAGCTGTTCAGCTGTATTTCAGTTGTTTTATAATAATTATTTTTAGAGGTTTATTTATTTTAGAGACTGAGTGAGCTGGGGGCATGGAGGGGGAGGAGAGGGGCAGAGGGAGAGAAAGAGAGTCACAAGCAGACTCCACAGTGAGTGGAGTCCCACTCAGGCTTGGTGTCTCACACCCCGAAATCAGGACCTGAGCCAAAACCCCAGAGTCAGCCGCTTCACTGACTGAGCCACCCAGGTGCCCCAGGTATTTAATAATTATTAAAGTAGATGTTAAGAGATGGTTCAGAGAAAGGGGCTTCCTAGATGGGACAGACTTCTACTTTGTAGGGTTGTCATCCTTGTGGCTTTTAACTTGAGTGGCTGTGTAACAGCGTCATTGTGTATTTGTATAGTTCTTTAATGTTCTAAAAGTGCTCTTACATAGAGCTTAGTAATCTTACGTTTTCGCTTATAAAGAGAATTGGAGCTCTGAAACCCAAGTAGTTGTCTAAACTGTTTTGTAAAGCTTATGTATGTAGTAGGGGGCTGTAGACCATTATTTGCTAGCTATTTCCTTATTCAGAAAAGTTTGAAAGATTTAGAAAATCTGGAAGGTACGAGTGTGACAACTACTTAACTTTCCAGGCTTTGTTAGGCTGTGTCTCAAGTATGCCGTGTGTGTGGACTCTCTGGCTTGCATGGTACTGCCTCGTCCATATATGGAGTGAGTCATGCTTATTTTATTCTTTGGGTTGCAATCCAGGGGTATCTAACTTATTTTGCTTTTTTACTAATTCTGTTGCTCACACTGTTCCCGTTTTGGCCCTTGTGTCCTTTCGTGTTCCCTGTTCTTATTTTGTTGTGGTGGTTGTTTTTAGCATTTTCTTTATCAGTTAAGGCTCATTTGTATTTTGCCTTTGCCAGTCCTAGAGTCAACCGTTTCTCCAAAGATCTACCATGAAGAATTTTGAAGGGAAGTGACAGGTGGTAAATGTGAAGAGTTTAGAGAATAGATTGAACAGTAGATCCAGTGACGATGATACACGCGAGCGCATGACAAGGGGGAAGGACAGAGAACAAGCAGACGCCCTGCTGAGCAGAGAGCCTGACTCCTGAGGTCTTGGGGGCTCTGATACCAGGACCCTGAGATTATGACCTTAGCTGGGTTAGACACTTAAGCTTCTGAGCCACCCAGGCACCTCGTTAAATTTTAATATGATGTGATGCATGATGTAAGGCTCGTTTTTTTCTGTAGATATGGATGTGTAATTGTTCACCATTTGTTGAACAGAATATCCTTTTTCTATTGGATTATCTGCACTTAACGTTGAAAATCCTAGTTGTCCATATACGTGTTTGTATATTTCATAACTATTCTGTTATGTGGTTCTATTTGTCTGTTTTTACATCTAGACTATTTTAAAAATAATTGTACCTGTGAACAATATCTGATATTTTTGTGTATACTAAAAACACTTCTAAACATGTTTAGAAGCATACAGTACGTATTTGGCAACTAACTTTTTAATGTAATATTTTTGAGATCTATTTCATGCTGACTTTGACTGCTATAAATAGGATGACTTTATGTCTTGGTTTCCCAGGGACAGCCCTAATTCACTCCAGTTAACCTGGAGAAATTATAAATAGTACTGCTTTTTAATCTTTTAAGTGCCCCATATGATTATGTTAGATAGAGAGGTTTGAATGTTAGGGATAAACTGCACCTTAATCCATTACCTGTTTGACAGACACATAGGTTGTTGTCTTATGTTTTAGAAATAAGGTGGCTAATTATTTGAGAAATTATTTCTCAGGTTGATGTCTTATGTATACGGGTGAGTTTCTTGTGTACAAATCTAGAAGAGAATTGCTAGATTCATTGAACTTTTGGATTTTATAAGATAACTGCAAAATTGTTCTTCCCTGTGGTGGGAGCAATTGACACTCCCTTCAGTTTCACAGGTTCTTTTTCCCGACTTCTTGCCAGTGTTCGATATTGACTGATACATGTTTTTTAAGATTTTATTAATTTATTTGGGAGAGAGACAGAGATAGCAAGAGAGACCCCTCGCTGGGAGGAGAGGGAGAATCCGGCTCCCCACTGAGCAGGGTTCAATATCAGGACCTTGACTTAGATAACCTGAGCTGAAGGCAGACGCTTAACCAACTGAGTCGCCCAGGAGGCCCATGTCTTCTTGACTGATATTTTATTTTATTTTTAAAGATTTTATTTATTTGACGGAGAGAGATCACAAGTGGGCAGAGAGGCAGGCAGAGAGAGAGAGGGGGAAGCAGGCTCCCTGCTGAGCAGAGAGCTCCATGAGGGGCTTGATCCCAGGAGCCTGAGATCATGACCTGAGCTGAAGAGGCTTTTAACCCACTGAGCCACCCACTGATACTTTAATACTTTGGGGATCTTCCGTGCGAAGTGATAAATTTTATCTTTTTATTTTTAATTTTTAAAATTTATTTTTAAAGATTATTTATTTAGAGCATGTGCCAGTGCAGGGGAGGGGCAAAAGGAGAGAGAGAAAATCTCAAGCAGACTCCACACCTAATGGGAGACCAACTCTGGGCTGGATCCCGTGACCCTGAGATCATTGATTTTTGCCAGAGTAAGCTGTACTATTAATCGAGGTGGATTATGGTTGGTCTTCATGCTTCCCTGCTCTTGGAACATAAATGCTCACAGCTTTTTAGACTCGGTTAAAGGAAGCACGCTTGACATTCTTTGTGAACTTTAGCAAAATTATTGATGGAAATTTCTTTAAAGTTGTCATGCAATTTGGTAATTTGTGATTAAGTAGACATTTTGAAATTTAAGAGTAATTCAGCATTCAGGGTCAATCCACAAAAAAATTCATCAGTGATTATGTTAATCTGAGAGATCATTGACATTTCCATTAAATGGTACTTTACTGTAACATTTATCAATGGTGTTACGTGCTTTTCGGATCAGGTAAGAAAAGGATGAAAATTGAACTTTTCATTCCATGTAGGTAACTAATAATTCTGTTACCTTAAACTTTTTTTTTCTGTACTGTACCATAATCACGCTTTCATTGTTTGCTCTGAGGAATCTGAATGCCAATACCAAATGGTGTTGTTGGAAAAATGATAGTGTTACAAGCCAAAAGTGAATTCTTTCCTAAAATTGGAAAACTTCAACAGAAAGTTTTCTGATACAATCCTTTATTTATTTATTTATTTATTTATTAAAGGATTTTATTTATTTATTTGAGAGTGAGTGAGAGAGAGCATGAGAGGGGAGGTCAGAGAGAGAAGCAGACTCACCATGCAGATGGGAGCCGGATGCGGGACTCGATCCTGGGACTCCGGGACCATGACCTGAGGTGAAGGTAGTCGCCCAACTAACTGAGCCACCCAGACACCCCTGTTATTTTTTTAAATAGAATCTTTGACATCTTTTCTTTAAAATATTTTATTTATTTATTTGACAG